CTGCAGCATTGTCTGGTTGTCGGGCTGCAGCAGGTACACCGATGAGAGCATGTTTTGTTTGGTTTTATTCTCTATGTCTGTTGTCACAATGATGTATTTCAGAAAGTTGCTGTGCTTGGAAGAATTACATTATAGGCATCTAAGACTACCAAATGTCTCTGGACACAAACATCTTAAAAATGTGCACCATTTTTGGGGTGTTTTTGTAATTCATGTCTTTTCCCGTCATTTTTTATTAGTATTTTATCACCAGACAGTCAGAAACAATATTCATTTTCAAATGTCCTGCAGCAGTGTTGTCTTGTTGTTAACTCTTGTCATATTTCACTCATTGGTTTTGAAAATGGAAAATGATGAATGGCTGCAATGTTTCGTTTATAACATCTCATTCTGGAGTTTTCTGTAAAAGTAGTACATTTTCCTTACTTACCATTGGGTTGTTGAAAGGCCTTGGGTTTTTTCTTAATATAGGAAAAATTTTATTAGACTTACAATCACAAAAATGAGTCCTCAAAAAAATTATGGAAAGAATATTTTAAGAATACTAAGTTTCCATTTTGGTTCAATCCTAATTTATTTAGTGCTAGTTTGGAATAATCAAAGCTAAATTATTTTGAACTTTCTCATACTTATGTACCTTAAAAAAGGAGTGATCATGATATAAATGGACTAAAATTGTACAGCCAATCAGATTTTATTAAAATAATTTTTTTCCTTTTTGGGAAGTAGACTCAAGCATGAAGGCATGCACTTCTTGTGAGTGTGTTTAATATCATCAGGAAATTCAAATCCAGATGTTTGCTTAAAGGTTAAGACATATTTGAAACAACAAAGGAGGCCTTTTCTTTCTGCTGCATATATTTAAAAGGGGCTACTTTTGAAAGAAATTTCAGAACCCCATTTGCATCCTAATGGCAGCCCATTTCCTGAGTCCACAGTTAGGCAGACTATAGAGTGGCATTAGGGATTTCTGGGGCAGAGAAATTGTTGGTTCTAGCTGAGCTACCGAAAAATAAAAGGGAAAAAGATGAATGGATTTTTTGCTTCAGCAGCCACCAGCTGGCAGATCGGCTCCTTGGAGCTCTGCCAAGCAGCAGTTTACAGCAGCCCTGCAGCTGCTCTAGGCTGGGCTGGAGCACCACTGGCACCAAGCCACCTTCAGCTCTGGACAAGGACTCAGCCTTGGAATTGGCCAGCAGATGCGCTGGGATTGTGGCTCTGCTCGCTCATGTCTGATGCTCAGGGAATGCGGTTGGTACCTCAAAGTTCAGTGCTGGGAAATTTGCCTTAATCACCTACAGGAAGATAAGGAGAAATAGGTTAAAAGTAAATGTTTAACTTGGTCCAAAGTTAGTTTGGTTTGGGAGTTTTCTCACATGGCTTTACTTTTGTGCGTCTCATTCTGGGACATTTTTCTTTATCTTGCCCAGTTCATGAAGATCTGTAAAATAACTGTAAAATGGACCAGCAAGAAAATTCGGTTGCACTGCATTCTTTCAAAGTAAATTACCTGAATTCATCAAAAGAAAAATTAATTAATTTCAATCCTGTGTGTTGCAATTTTTATAAAAATGTTATAATCTTACCAAAAAATAACTTGCATGAAAATCAAACCAGCCCTGGACTTTTTATTGACAGGGAGAATAACTTTATATTGGAGGGAGAATAACATTATTGGGATGACGATTTCTTGTTGATTTTGACTCCCGTCTGACAACTGTTCTCTCTTTTCCTGATTGGAAGCTGTTCTTCAGTAATTTGTCATAGATAGCAACAATAGTATTGGGTTTTGGAGGTGTTTCATTAAAGTCTCTGCTCGTTTGATGTGTAACTATGCATCTGATAGAATGAGTCTGTCTTTCCCTGTTAACCATCTTATTATTTTATTGCTGGGGACAGGACCAAACCAATTTCTTAAAATTATGGTGGCATATTCTGAATTTCTGTTGGTGTTTTAATGTAGGTAGATTAGTTCCTAATTTGTCACCACCTGGTATTTGTTTAATTATTCAATAGGAGGGGAATTTCAGCAAGTTAGAATTTCAGAGAACTAAGACCTTCCCGAACCACATGTGTATTATTAAACATTTATTGATACATACGCACACATTGTCTCCCCCATCAGCCACAAACCAGAGGCCAATATACACAGACCTACAAACCAAGCATTTATTTTCTAAATTGCAAATATTTCAAGTGAACTATAACCTTGATAAGGAAAAGGAAAGAAACACCCTATTGCTAGATAGTCATAACAGCTTTTCATCAAGTTAAAAAGCAATAGGTGACAATAGGTGACAATAATCAACTGAATTTAGGTATTATTTTGCATTAAAAATCATGAAAATATTGTGGACAACTAGATGAAGATGAATCAACAATTTCATGTTGTTGCCAAATAAAATCACTAGCCTCCTATTGGAGTAATTAATAAGAAGCAGAAGTCCCTCATAGGACAATAATAGTGTTTGTTCTGCTTCATAATGGTGGGGGGTTACCTTGAGTACTGTACTCCTGAGCCTTCTACTTCCAGAAAAAAATGGTGGAATTACTGAAGGGGATCTGTAGAGAAGTGTGAATGACTCGGAGTCTAGCAGATGAGTCCTATGAGAAAAAAGCAATGTGGTATTTTTTTATTCTAGAGCAGAGAGGATTGAAGTGTTGCTTGACAGCATTCTTTGAAGACATAAACAGGTATTCAAGATCAAACAGCAATTCTTTATTCATTTTCATGAGAGAGAGAGAATGAAGTTTTTGAAGCCAGAAAGATATAGTTTAGACATTAGGAAGACCTTTCTAAAAGTAACAGTAATATAGTGAAAAAATCTTACAGGAGAAGGCTGTACAGGTTACATTGATGAAGGTCCTTAAACAGATGATTAAGGACCATAAATATCCAGAGGGATAAACTGGGGTTAACCAGAAGCTCAAGATAGACTGGAGACCCCACAATGAAGTGCCTCTAAGGTTCTGTATCAATCTTTAGGTTTTCAAAGGTACCAGGTGACATATGGTAACTCCTGAATCATTCCCTTACAATAAATGCTTGGATTTTTGACAGGGCATTAAATTTTACTCTCATCCCAGTAGGAAGATTATATTTACTGGCATGAAAATAAATAATTTATAGATGGATGGATGGATGGATGGATGGATGGATGGATGGATAGATAGATAGATAGATACATACATACATACATAGATACATAGATACATAGATACATAGATGAAAAGTTTTTGAACTTACAGACTCCTAAGAATGATATCCTAGGAATTAAATGGAATTTCATTTCAGCACCTATGTGCTGCAGATATAAAAGATGAAGTCATGTTTTCTAGAAGTGTTCTACTCCCATTTATAAATCTGTGTGCAATCAGCACTGAATAAAGTGGGAAAAAATTATGTTCCAGTCCTAATAATTTTTTTTTAAAATATCATCTCTGATGCCTAAAATGCACTGCAGTCCTTATATCCAAACCTGCATATTGCTCTGCATGGAATCATGACCATTAGCCTGCAGTAAACAAAGGGTTTAAGCTATGAATACTGACAGTATCATTCTTCTCTGCTGCTTAAAATAGAAATGTATGTGAAGGGATACAATTAATTCTGAAACAATAGATCTGAGTTTCCTATGGAATCATGGAAACACCATGAAAGATTTTTAGCCAAATATTGTAGGAAGACTTGGTAGTATTTTTTATTCTCTCAGCTTTGTTCTGCAACATCAGAACCCATATGTCAATGTAAATGTCAAGAAGCTGCTCCTGTGTCCTTTCAGAGTTCTGTTGCAGAAAATCTGTAAGGAGTCAAATTGGACATGTGTTTCAAATTAACCAGTTGCTTTAACCATTCCCTGGGAAAGGGTACCATCATCTCCTCCCCAGTCAGGTGTTCTAGGGACAATACAAAGCATCACACCAGGCACACACTGAAAGTCTGCAGTGATCTGATTTCCCATGCACAGATAAATTACCATAATTTCAGCAAAATCAGGTGCACGCATGCTTGCACAACATCAGAAGTTGATAACATGCTGGAATCTTTCTTCCATTGTATTTTTTTCCAGACAACTGAAATAAAATTTTTGCTCTCCTGTAGCATGCATTTGACTTGTAAATACACAACAAAAAACCTGGATTCAAGGGATGGTGAAAATTGAACATGTTCTCAGCTTAACCGAGGCACAAAGATATTTAGAAAATATGTTCTTTATATTTTGTAAGGATTTGAGAGTATTAAGTGTTGAACTCTATGTGATCAAAATTCTCTTTGTTTCATTATGTGAAATGCTTTTGAAAATCTGCTTACAATTCATGAAAACTTCTTATCCATTTATTATGTTCTGAAAAAGAAATCCTCATTTGATTTAAACTATTTTTTAAGGAAAATGGCCAAATCATTTCCTGTAGAAAACATTTTTCAATCCTAGTGCTATTAAATGTGAATGAAGTTTTGGAAGTTTTACCATCAGTTGGAGTTCTCTTTCATTTTAATCTGCCAGACCCATGTGCTGTTCATGAGTAGTGAGGAGTGGTTTATGTACTCCACACCATTTCTCTGCTGTGTTCCATTACTAATTGCCACAGACATCTTTTCATTAAAATCCTTTCATTAGGATTTTTCCTGCTGAAGCTGAGAAGTTTCAGCAACAAAGTGTAAACACTGGTTATCTGCTACTGTGGAATGCAACAGGTGGATCCATGATTGGTCTCGTGTGGATGTTTGGATTTACTGACCACTCACAGCAGAGCTGGGTCTCGCTCTCTGCTGAGACACAGATCTTTGTTAACATTCTTTTCTATTCTATTCTTAGCTTAGCCTTCTGAGAAACCTTTTCCTTTCTTTTTAGTATAGTTATAATGTATATATATCATAAAATAGTAAATCAAGCCTTCTGATCATGGAGTCAACATTCTCGTCTCTCTCTCATCCTGCAAACCCCTGTGACCGCGGTCACAGCTAATACTTTTTGTTTTGTCTTCTTTTGTTTCCCCAGACTACATATCCAGTCAGAACGGTGAGCCAAAACCTCAGCACAAGGGACAGAAAGTCAGCACTTACTCCCACCGAGGACCCTTTTAGACACCCACCGGGCAACCAAGCAGCAGCGTACGAGAGCAAGAGCTGCCAGCTGTCTAATTTGTGTCTGAGCAGCCTCCTGAAGGAGAAGGAGCTCGTGGAGGCCATCAAGCACACGCGGGGCACGTACGAGGCCCTGGCCCCAGAGGCGGCCCAGAACGGTTTGGCTGTCACGGCCGCCAGCCCAGCCCAGGCCGCGTCCAAGGCCGACGGCTTCCCCGCGTTCCCGGGAGCTCCCAAGGACCAAAGCGCTGTGCCTCGGCAGCACAGCACCTTCACAGGGAGGCTGGGACAGCCCCCCAGGGGACCCATCTCCCTACACATGTACAGCAGGAAGAACGTTTTCCTCCACCACAACCTGCACACGGCAGAGCTACAGACTTTAGGTCAACAAGATGGCTAACACGGTGCTTATTTTCTTGCCATGGAAGGAGAGTTGATTAAAGAGGGATGTAAGCTCACCTAGAGCTCTGTCTTCAGTTCTCATCTGCTGCTACTTTCATGTGAAAAAAAAAAAAACAATAAAAATTTAACTTTGTCTGTAGGTTCCATGTTTTCCCACCTTGGACTGAGGCAAAAGGATGAACGAGATTGTTAAATATCTGGGCTGATTTGTCATGCAGAAGTCACCATGAGTTAATAAATGGGACCATTTGGCTGGCACTGCTAGTCCAATATTGGCTAAATATATTTTACCCCTCTATAAGTCACTATGATTCCCTGAAGTTCTAGAAGATGATCTTAAATAAAACCTGTATGTTTAATAATATTACTGTTAAAGTAGATGTGAGGAATAAATAGATAAGTAATTAGTAAACCCTCTTGAATTCCATGGAGATTAGGGAAATAAGGAGTCAGAAATCTTTAAGGACCCTCTTTTTACACATTTTTTTAAATACAGTGAAATTTGGTAACTTACAGAGTGTTACCACTTCCTGCTGTATGTGTTTCATGAGTGCCTCATGCTACAAGTGGAGGAAGTAATTGATTTTCCTCTAACAGGTTCATAGAGAGTTGCCAGGTATTTGAGTCAGTAAATTGGGTCCCAGACTGAGGATGTCAGCTTGTTTCTTCAACCTCCCCTTCCCTCTTCACACTTCTATTTAGCTACATTTCTCTGAGTGTTTCGGTTCTATGAGGGCATGTCAAGTGGTGGTGATCTTTGTGCTTTACAGGCACTGTAGCACTCATGATGCGATGTGACATTCTGCTGTGTAATTCATCCTATAATTTCATTCCACTTCCCAAACCAAAAATGTGTGAAAGCCTAAAGTAAGAGAAATGATCTTATTACCAAGGCTGAACAAGGTGCATCAGTCATAATTTCTGTGGGCTGTATCATCTGCACTTCAGGACGTGTTGGTTTACACCAGCTCACTGGGTTTGTTAGTCTTGACATGTAACAGACAAGTGAGATTAATTTATGGCCTGGTCTCTGGGAGTATGAAATCATCTGACCACGCCACAGAACCTGGCGACCTGTCGGTTGCAAAATATCTGGTTTTCCCCTCTCAGAGGCTTGGGAACCTCAGTCACTTACTCCAAACATGTGGCATATGTGAAACATGACACTTGGTTTACAACCTCTCTGGTCCAGGGTAATCTGTTTGAGTTACAATGGCACGTGCAGTGAGTAGTTTAAAAATAATTTGGCACATTTAAGTATGATTGAGGCAGACCTGAAACAAGTCACTTCTCTCTTTAACCAGTGATTAACAAGGAAGGACAAGGCTGCAGCACATTCTCAAACACAAAAACAAGCCGTTGTGACTTAACAGATAGCATATAATGAAAAATAAAGCTTCTGTAGCCACTAAAAATCTGCAACTTTTAAAAGTTAAGTCACATAGAGTATACGAAATAAAGACAAAATTTTACCTAGTGTTAAATATATCTGCTTCGCTACTCAATATTTGGTTATTACAAGGAAATTTTTTTAACACATCTTGCCTAAACTAAAAAATAGACCATTATCTTGGCAGATATTCTGTAAAGTAACTTCAGCAGCCTGAAATTTCAGGCTTCTGTTTATTGAGGATTTTATTTTTATTAGAGTGGAATTTATTACATTATCAGATATTGAAGAGAGCAGGTTTTGTCTAAATATTCTGTAGTGATAATTTTGGGTATCCAGAGAGGGATACATAAGAACCAAGACAAACATTTGCCAAAATTCTTCATGTTCATGTGTGCATTGCTACTGCCAAAACAGAATGTGCAAAAATTACAAACACAGCTTTGCCGAATTAACTGTGAGCATTCAAGACTCCCAGTCCTGCATTGAAACTCATAATTTAAAGTCTACCAAGCAAGTTTAAAATAGTAATAAGATAATTTCATTACTCAGAATCACTTCTTAGCAATATCTTAAAGTCATGGTAGATTGAAAGGACAATTAATTCTTGCTATCAATTCATTTCAGTATTGCTCATCTCAAGAGCTCATGTATGCAATTCAATTTCCGATCTGTAAATAAATAAACAGACACTGTAATCAAGGAATTTTTTTCCAGGATACAAATGTACTGTACTACATTAAAAAAATCAAAACAAAACAAACCAACACCCTCTTCAGTTTTAGGTTATGTACTGTATCTGTAGTTGTTTTTTTCCTGGGAAAATGGACTTTTGGATTACACTTTATTAAAAAAAAATCCATCTATAAACTTCAAAAATAGCATTTCAAATGCTACTATTTTCTTGGAGAATCTTTTATAGAGCTGAAACTTTAAAAAACTGGAAAAAAACAGTTCAATAAATATGAGGGATATTTTTAAAATGTCATCTTGAAGCTGTTTTGTATCAGTATTTTCAGCAATGTTACGTTATTTGTAATACTGAGTGTAAATCTCACCCAGAGAAGGGTATTAGCCACATGTTAATGTACAGTACAGCAGTAACTGTAAAAGAGGTCCTTGCTTTGGTCCTCTCATGTATATAGGAAATCATAAAGCAACAGCATGTGGACATTCTTGCAGTGAATTGATTCCTTTGTACTAAAAATCTCTAGTTTTTTAAGAGTTCCATGTACAAAATTATTTATACATTTCTCCAAGGCTGTACATATCCAGAGACATGACACCGGGGGAAAAGGCATTTATTATTTTTTTCCAATGATGTATCTTTCTTCCCTTCTTTTTTCTCTCTTTATGTACAACAAAGCATAACTGCAAATTTTCTGTTTAAAATGACTTGTTAGTTCCATGTCTTTCAGCATGATAGAGGGCATTTTAAGGAGGAGAAAATCCCCGAAGAAAAACTGTTCCCACTTGAAGCAGTGTCCGTCCCACTTTTTTAGAGCAATCACTTGGCAAAAGAAACCTTAGATCTGTACCCTAATATTTTTTTAATAATTTACCAGAGCCACACCTGAAATGTGCTTATCATGATCTCTGGCCTTACCCTGACTAGGACACCTTCATATGACACAATAACATGCTAGGGGCAGCCCTGGTGATAACATCTTGAGATGGAAGGAAAACATTTGTCCAATACTGTTTTTACGTTTGGCCTTCAGAGCAATGGAAAGAGTTTTTTTAATAACTTGTGCATGTAGGTGAAGATCAAGATGTGTGCTTGTGCATACTGGAAGAAACCTTGCTACAAAGCTTCCCTCTGTTTAGTCTATTTAGTAGCATATGAAAGCATCCAGCAACAGAAAACTCCTGCCACCTTTCCAGGCATGCCAGCGCTCTCTATGAAAATGAACAGCCAGAATAGATGCCTTTACTTCAGTCCAGACTTACTGGTTTTTTTTCCACACACCTCCACAGAAATGTTAGAAGAGCTTTCCTTATGTGTCTTTTTTCCTGGAAATTGTGAAAGGGTGTTTATCCAGACTATGACGCTCAAATGATGTGTCAATAAATATTTGAAAGCTTACCAAAATGTTAATACTTGTCCTACAGGGTCATTCCAGTCATTACAGGTTCATTACCAATAAAAATTGGTGGTTTTCCCTTTCCAAAGAGCCAGTTTGGAAGTAATGATTTCTGTCTGTGCTGTTTCACTTTATACTGTTAAATACACAGTACACTTTTCAGACTAATAAAAATAAGGTGTTTACAAATCAGTAGTGTGCTTTACATGCCCTAAGAGTTGTGCCATATCTTCACTGGTTTGATTGGTATGACGCTGTCTTTGATTAGGTTCTACTGAGTTAAGCCACCTGATGATTGGGATTGTGGCCTTTAATCCAGTTAGTCTCAGTTTATGCACAGGAGTTCTCTAAATCTGGAAATCTTTCCTGGGTCAAAAAAGACAAGAAAACCATCTAAAAAAAACATCAGATCATGATCTATGGTGAATGCACTTCTTTTTCCCCTTCACATTCAAAAGCAAAAAAACCCTGCAAACCCCTTTGTACATCTGCATGGTTCACAAATGAACTAGAGTAACATCTAACAAAAAGCAAATTCTTTAAATAGATATCTGGAGAAAAATGTACAGGCGAGTCTTCTCACAAATATTTGTAAAGGTGATAAGTTTGTCAATATTGGGAACTTCTCCATCTGAGTGCAGTAATGAAATGTGTTCCATGGCCTCTACCACTCTCACCCCAATGAGTTTTTTTGGAGGGAGAATTTGCTGTTTGAAACTTGCTCTAGAGAAAGCAGGCACTACAGTGTGAGAAATACATTGAAAGTATCCAGGAAGGTGTTCTCCCAGCTGGGAATGACACTCAGCATCCTTTCCAGGGTGTATCTTAGTGCTCTTCAGCCAGCAAGAAGTTGACAGAGATTCCTCAGGAGAGCAGCCTCAAATCATGCAGACCATGACTGTCTTTAAACAGACTTTACTTTAACATGTCCCATATAAGACACTTCTAAAATAATACAGAAATTTCAGCAGCTGCAGAACACACCTTGCTGGGTTGTTGGGGTTTTTTTTTGAGATAAAAATGCCATGTGCTGGTTTTAACCTTGTAAACTCTGTTTGGAACTTGCGTGCTCACTGGTGATCTGCCCAGGAGGTGAGAGTTCATCCACTGTAACAGATCTGATCCTAACTCCTCACAGAATAAAGACATTGGATATCCTCCCAGAGGAGCTTGAGATTTGCAATATATTTTCAGTCTAGAAAAATCTGGATTTAATTATCTTCTTTTTCAAGGATCTTCAGTTGTTGCAAAGTCAGTAAAAAAGAAACTTACTTTTTGAAGTATTTTGGAAAGATTTTGTGGTTAATTTTTATTTTAAAATACACTTAAAATTTATCTCCCTATATCTAAAGACAAGAAAATAAAAAAGGAAAAGAAAAAAAGAAAAAGCTTTTATCAGGATATGTTTCCCATAAATCTGTGATTGTCACTAGCCACAGCTGTCACTTGCATTCTGTACAGCTGTGAAATATTTTTGGATTTGTTGGTTTTGTTGCCTTCATTACCTGGAAATCATTACCTCTAGTTCTGGGTGTTTTTTGCCATCAATCCAATACTTGAAACACACAGGGAGGGCTGTTGAGGATTTCTGCAGAGGTAATCCTGCTACTCTGAAATCAGTGCAAAAAGAAAATACCTGGAGGTCGCTGTGTGTTTCCTGGGGATGGAAAACCTATCCTGAGTGATCCTAACAATGAAGGATTTGTGAGAATCTGATGGAGGTGGCAAATATCAGATCTGTTTCTACATCAAGGTAGAGGTTGTAGAACAGAAAATACTCCACTGAGAAGATTTTTCTAGTGGGCAAATACTGTCTCCTTATATTCTGTATCCTGACCCTTTCTGTCTCTCTGGATTTCAGGAACATTTCCCTTAGGTGTGGAGTTGTGATGACTCTGTAAGACAGGATGCACCACAGTGTTTTTCCTGCTATGGGAAGGCTCCACTGGATTTTTTTTTTTAGAATTTAAAATATCTCATCATTAAAATATTTTAACATTTTCCCCTAGAACTGCTGTTCTGCTGGGGTAGTAGAAAGCAGTGCATTCACAGAAAATGTCCCTTTCACGTCTGGGTAGGCTGTGTTAGGTGAGTTGAGGTCACAGCTGATTTACGTTCACCCAAAAACTGTCAGACTTACTTATGCACCTACACAGATAAATACATTGCCAGGTTTGACCCTGCTTTTTTGTCACATTGAAAAGGCCCTAATATTGTCATTTTAAAATGCATATGGGTATCAACAGTAGTAGTAGAATTTTAATTTATTTTGAATTTTCAATTTTATGTCAATGCACCTTATAGAATGGTTTTGTAATAATTACCTAGGGACTTTTATTTTTTTTCTAACCTAAACTTGATTTCAACAGGGTTCATAATACTCTACTTAAATTTAAGCATATAAGCAGTCCCATAAAACAGTCAATTCCCTCTTCTTTTAAAAGCTAACACACAAATAAATATTTTTTCTGACATAAACAATGTTCTTCATGTTTATTGTTTGAAAGGTATGATGTATAAAAATTTTACTTTTATGTAAATATAACTACTTTTCAAACACTCCACATAAGTAGAAAAGACAAGAAATGGCCTTCATACTAAAGTTGCTTGTCCAGCTATACCACTAGGCTTTGTTTGCCAAATCATTAATTTCTTTTTAAAGAAAATCTATTTGTTTTCTATGGTTTAGAGTGTGAAAAAAATAAAATGTTTTAGTACGTGCTCTACAGAATGTGTGGAGAATGATCAACATCACAAGGAGAATATAAGCAATCAAAGTCCTTAATCAGTGATTCATCTGATGTGTTTTAAGCAAGAGGATCAACAGGATATAAAAAATCTGTGTAGGAGGAGAGCAGATGTTTTGTTGCTCAGAAAAGTCTAATGGAAGGATGAAGGCTGACAGATTAATGGCTCTTTTTCTGTTCCAGGGCTGGTGGTGCAGAGCCATTTGCTGTGAAATAACACTGAGGCAATATATTTATAAAGTGAATCTATTGGAACAGCAAGAAATGAGATAAATGAAATGTAATATTACGCCGTATCACATGGGGCCATGCTATATTACATGGCCCCATGTTATATTACACCATATCACATAGCCCCATGCTATATTACATGGGGCCATGCAATATTACATGGGGCCATGTAGTATTACGCCATATCACATGCAGCCATGCTATATTACATGGCCCCATGCAATATTACACCATATCACATGGGGCCCTGCTATATTACATGGGACTATGTAATATTACACCATATCACATGGGGCCATGCTATATTACATGGCCCCATATAATATTATGCCATATCACATGGCCCCATGTAATATTGCATGGGGCCGTGTAATATTTCATTCTCCTTGAGGTTCTTTAATCGCTTAATGTGAACTCTAGGTTGAAGATATTTGTTACTGTGCTAATAATAAAGTACAAACACCTGTGCAGAACATTTTATTAAAATCTAAAAATTATATACAAAAATTCTACTGTCTTGCAGGAAAAAAAAAAAAAAACAATTCTGCCTTGATATTTTGCAAATTCCTTATTACACTATTTCCTGGGTGTCCAAATAAATTTGCTCACACAACATTTCTCAATTCCCTACTCCACTTTTCAGTGGTCCTTAGTGTGAATATAGCAATTTCCCTGAATAAAATTAGGCTTCACTTCTGCTTTTTTTCTCTTCAGTGTCTTGTCCCACTACATCTTTTGCTTTTACAGTATGTGTCTATTTTTGTGTTGTCCATCCCAGGTTTCAACTGAGGATATTATAAAGCACTCCTCCAATTTGCTTCATTTTCCCCATAGCATATCTAAATGATATGTCTTCACCTTCAAGGGCCAAAATCATTCATATTACTTTAAGTCAAATATAGAAGAAATAAGCAAACTTACACATTTGTAAGGCTATAAAGTATTTGTCATCACTAACAGCAGTGTGGAAATACAAGTAGCATGAAGACCAAAGTGATTGCTCATAGTGTCATAATTGAGTTCCATTTCAGCTTTTCCCTGCATGTACATAATGTACACACTGCACTCTAAGACCAGGAGGTTTATTTGTTTGGGGGGTTCTGCTTATTGGTTTGGGTTTGTTTGGGGCTTTTTTTGCATCCCTATCAGTGCACCATTTTCAGTGCCTGCTTTAAAAGCCTCAGCTCAGCTTCCAATTCTTCAGCTAGAAATGGCTGTAGCTCATTTCACAGTACTTAGATGCCTACTACTTTCTCAGTAATACTGTTTAAAATATATGTCCCACTCTAAGCTGTTTCTTCCTGTTGCTATCCACTCTTGAATAGCTGCTCCATTTCAGTGCTGTTTATGGGAATTCTTTGTAGCATTTGGGTCCCTGGCAGGAATATGAAGCTTAATAGCTTATTTGACTTTATATATAGTCTTGCAAGGAAAAATAAAGCTGAAATAGTATAAAAGTTTTTAATCTGATATTTTTCAGTGAATTTAAATTACTGTATTATCAGCGTTCTACTAAATGAAGCTAAAGAAACATCAAATTAGACGCAAGTTCTGGAAAGTGGAAGATTCTTTGAAATAGCACAGGTTATGCAAAGTGCTTGGGAGCTAAGGAGCCTTTCCCACATAACATCACTTCTATGAAACTTGAGTGTGTCCAAAATAATGACCAGCTTAGTCTTTGTGTTGTGATGGGCTTTAAAGTGCCTGAAAATATTTTCATAGTTACATTATATATGTTTTCTTGCTTCCTTGTAAAGGATTCTCTTCTTTTATGAAATGACAGGACAGGAATTTATTCCCTGTCACAAAAATGCCTCAAAAGCTACTGATTACTGAGAATGAAACAATATTCATCAGACAGCAGAGTAATTCCTCAATTAGCTTGTATGCATTATAATTCATAATATTTTATGTTGTGACATCTCAGAAAATAATATGAATGTTGTTGCTTTAGAAAAAACTGCGTATCAGAGAATGAGCTAAGCCTTAAACATAGTTTCAGATTGAAAAAATACTAATATGAAATTAAAGGAAATTGATCTCTGATTTTTCAAGTGTTGAAAGCACATAATAATCAGAATAGCTTGATTTCACTCAATGACAAACATGAAATACTTTTTCTAAGCATATTAAATGTCATTCAGAATAATATTGCATATAGTGACTAAGTTCAAGTCATAGTAGTAGCAAACATGATTACATCTCCATGCAGGA